CTTTATGCAAATTCCTTTGAAGGTAGGTTAGATTAGGTAAGTTAAAGTTTAGGTGCACTGCTAGCATTTTTGATGTGTTTTTCTCAGGATTTTAATTTTACAAACAATCTGTAGGCGACATAAACCAACAACTCGATTCATTATAACCTAATCATTATAACTTTACTTTCCTAATCTAATCTAATTTCAAAACACTTGAAACAGTCATGAATTCACATAAAGAACGACCTACCACCCTGACATGCCTAAATAAGAACAACATGTAATTAGTCCACCAGTCCATCTATATCTCCATAAGTTAATGTGATGAAATTCCTTTGATAGAAAACATTATTGACTACAGAATCAATTGAAATGTTTCTATAGTCAATGATGCTGTTTAATCAACGGACAACAATGTTATTCTTCTCATCAACCATGTCTCTTCACTTAAACGGAACTTCACGTCACAACGGCGTACAGTAGCGTAGCCAGGATTACGTTAAGGGGGGGATATTCAACGTGACCATGCCGGGGGGTCTGGGGGGTATGGAATAAGCTCCAGCCAAGAGGAGGGGTCCTCCCCCGGAAAATTTTTGAAGAATAATAGCTGTAAACTAGCGTTTTTATGCAATCTAGACATATTAATTTTTAAAACATAAATTGATTTTTAATTGAGTTTTTATTATATGTATTTAACCTATTTGATTAAGGTGTTTAAACATGAATTTAAATTTGTTACCGTTTTACAGAAGAATATTAAAAATGTAACTAAAATAGTTTCTTAATAGTTTTGCCTGCTTTTCATTTTGCTAACTTTGGCCTAACTTCAGTTTCTTAATAGTTTTGCCTGCTTTTCATTTTGCTAACTTTGGCCTAACTTCAGTTTCTTTCCAGGCCGCTTACAATTATCATCACTCATTCTTCAGGACTATCTTAGTTAATTCAACTTCAGATATGTAAATGTAATATCTGTATCATTCGTAATTACAAGGATAATGATGAGATAACGTAATATTTCAGCACCCAATAATCGATACGTAATTTATCTAAAAGTTCACAACCTCAAATCACGGTCAATTGTTTTACAACGCACGCAGTAACGCAGTTAGGGCATCAGTGATATGGCCAGTGGCTATGTGGCTATTGACATTTGACAGTGACACTAACCAACCAGACTACTCCCCCGCGCAAAATGACGGCTAGCGAATCCACAGTGGGAACGGGGAGCGAGTAGAACTGGTGGAAGTGGAACCACTATTATAGTACTGTTCCAGCTCTGACTACATGGCTACATGTGATAGAATCAATGCCCGCCCCGTTTCATCAAAGCTTTTGGTGAATATAGTCGTAGTGTACGCCTTTTGCCGTGACATGAAAAATGTTGTAAAACATTTAATATATTTCTAAGACTAGGTAAATTGTTTGGCACTTTCTTTATTTACTGGTTAGCGTTAAAGTATACTACGAAAACATATTTACTTCAACAGTAAAATATATATATATAGGGACACCCAAGGGGGGGGGGTTGTAACCCCCAAAACCCCCCCTTGGCTATGCCACTGACGGCGTAGCAGACTAGCACTAAACAGCACATTATGAGTTTGAGTATTTAGTGAAGTAAGTAAAGTGACGTCACTAGGCCTATTGTCAGAGTGAGTTAGTAAAGTTGTTACCCTACTTCCAGTTGCTTGACGTGTGGTTGAAAACAATCAGCTGTAGGAGTTAACCCACAGTTTAGTGTTGGTACATGGAACCAGTAATATCGGTATTAGTATCGATAGTCATATCAGCCTTTAAACATCAATCTAAAAAAAATATTGATAAAAAAAAATATCGACGTCAGAATATTGATGAAAAATATTGAAGAAAAACATTGATATGGTAGTTTATTTAGTAAAACATCGGTCATCCAAATGCTAAGCTTAAATAAATTAAATAAGTTATCTTTTTATTCCATTTACATACATTTTGTGAGTTACAGGAAAATATAAATAGGTAACTTACCCCAACCAAAAAAGTTTGCCTCTCAAGGTTTTCTTTGTACCTATCCCAAAAGGGCCGCTTTCCCCAAATCGAGATTAACCCTGACGATCGTAAGTTTAAGTTAGACTATATTTTAACCTCAGGCCTAAACTAGAGAAATAATTACTTCCGATGCACATGAAAGTAAGTTAGGCCTACGTGGCCGTGACATGTGAAGGTAAAAAATAAATATCTGAGTAAAATAAACTAATATACTCTGTTAACTTAACCCTCGAGCTGGCGGTCTTTTTATGCTGTGGTGGCAAGGGTTTTTAATGGGTCACGCAACATTTTTTATAACACATTTTTTAAACAGTAAATAAGTTTGTAAATATGTCATATTAATTTTTTTTTTTCAGCATAAAACAAGGAATATTATATAAGTGTTATATATGAAGTTGTAGCTAGCTACATTTTAAAAGTAGCTTCCCCAACACTGGCAATAAGTACAGGCTTTATGGCCTCTCTTCCACCTTTGCTCCTGACAAGCTTGTTTTCTGCATGGCACACCGTTGTCAGACAATAAACTGGTTTACGGGTTTTCTTTTCTTAAAATCCAACAAGAAGGATGTTATTTTTCCTAAAGTAGACAGTCTCTGCTACTTGAAGTTTCCTCTGCAGCAGATTTTTAGATAAGCCCTTTGATTTCTTTCTAACAGTGCCTGTCAGGTATAGGTGTTTTGATCTAAAAGTGCTTGTGCCAGAGGGATTTTAGTGTACCAATTATCGGTAAATAAATGGTACCCTTTACCGAGGAGATTACATTTTGTAAGTAAATCTAAAACCACCTTCTGAGCTAAGGGGTCATCTCCATCTGACAAAGTCCTTACCGCTGTACAATTCCGAATGGAGGACGTAAGAGAGGACGCTGTCACATATTTCGAATTTCTTGATGCCAAACCTGTTGTACCTCTTGTTAGGCATATATTGTATGTATATACATCTGTTTTTCATTCCCACCATGCTTTCATCTATGCAAATAGGCTGTTTTGGCACAAAAAATTGCTTAAACTTAACATTTAATTCGTCAATATATGGCCTAATTTTGTGCCAAGGATCGAAACCAGGTTGTCCGCGAGGAATCGCTGGTTTACAGTTGCAATGCAGCATAGAACTTATGAGCTGAAATCTTTTCAATGACATCGTCTCAGGAAAGAAAGGAGTTCTTTGAGTTTTATAAGTGTCCCAATAGGATTCAATATTTTGCTTATGGATTAGACCCATATTCAGCATAATTGCAATGAACTTATTCATTGCTTTCACTGTGACGTCAAACCAAGATCTCAATCTACTGTGCCTATGCATCCTTCCTGAATCATTAGCATTTTCAATGTTTATTCCAGCATACTTATTAGTTTCACGTACAATCATCCTCCATATGGTCTGAGTAAAAAATAAAAATAAATAAGCTAAAGGTGGAGAGTTACGTGGGGGACAGTTCTGAATTCCAGTGCATCCCTGCCTTACCAAAAAGTCTGCAACCTTTTCTTCTTCTGGGGGGTAAACTAACACCCATCTTGGGTCATTAGAAATTGGTTAAGGCCTAGGAATATTAGGCAACATATTGTCAGCAGGCACAGCAGGTTCATTAGGCCTAGGCCCAGGCACAATAGGTGAGTCAGGCCTAACTGGCTCTTCATTTCTTACCTGAGGTTCGAAATCTGTAGGCCTATCATGTTCCCTAGTCCAATCTGATATTTCCTCCTAATAGGTCACATAGTTATCCGAGCTACCAGAAGAAAAGTCGGTTAAGCAATGTTCATCATCACTAGAAGTTAGGGGATTGTCACTTGGAGTAATTTTCGTCAGGTTCACTATCACTACCGGTAGTCTCCTCGCCACTTAGAATTGGGTCATAGATCAACTCTCGTAATTCACTAGATCGGTCACGGTAGTTACGATCAGACATCTTAAAGTGAAATAAACTCACATTTCAATAAAAAATTAAACTTATAACATCAAAATCAACCAAACACAACGCGAAATAAACAACAAAAGACAACGGTAACAAGCGATTGCGTCATCATGACATTATGACAATGTCGTCAGCTGATGCGTTATTTTCATAGAGTAGATTAAGTTTTCCCAAAGGCAACCAAATAGTTGAAATGCACATCAATCGATAGATTATTCATTTCTGAACCGAATAAATACTAAGTACCTATATTAAGTGATATTAAGTTAGTTTCATTTTTGTGCTAAAATCGGCGATTTCCGTGACGTCCAGCGTTCCGTTCGGCTGCAGCGTGAATCGCCCGATATCGGGCGCATGCCAGCTCGAGGGTTAAGTTAACAAAAAATCTTATTAAAATATCGATAGAAACAAATAACTTAGGCCTACCGTATCGAAGTAAAATATCGATAACTTACCGGTAGGCCTACCTACTAAAAAATATCGGAAGACAACCATGGTATCGATGGTAAAAACATCGACTAGGCTATCGACTTCCAATTGATATTTTCGATAATTTAAGTTTTTGACTATCGATACCCAACACTAAGTTTATCACAGTTCATTCCACTTGTAAAATGTCATCCATCCTACCTTGTTTATTGTAATGTTGTATATTTTTACAGTGATATCTTGAGAAATATTCATCAGCAGTGAAAAATTATGGCATTTCGGATTCCGGAGGTAAAAAAATATAAAGTAAGATAACAAAATTAAAAATTCGTTTAGAGGCACCTAGGCTTATAGTAAACAAATACCCAGAGGCACAGACTCACCGAAATTATAATGGGTCTCAACCAGTAACTAACAACTTACACCTGCACAAAGGGTTGGGAGCTAGCTAGCTGTAGCTCCGCCTACATGGCAACAACTACAACTTGAGAACAATATTAAAATTATGACACAATATTATTTAAGTGTGGATGGTGTATGCTTGTCGAATTTAATGTACTGTGCATTAAGAGATATGAGACATAACCTTGTCTTTTTAACAGGTAGGCCTACAATAAGTTTGGCTAGGTACCGGTAACTTTAGGTTACTTACAGTCAGTCCTAATGTGCAAAACATACAAAGTACAAAAAAGTTGTGCCACTGAAAACTGAAACAGAGGTAAGTTTCAATTTCAAATCAAAGGCGAGTGTCTATGACTATAGGTACGTGGACTTTTGTTTTGTACTAACTTAACTTGTCTTGAGTACAGGACCAACAGAAACAGAACTATAAATTGAAATTCAAACTACCACAGAACCAAACCACAATGTTATCTAACTATCAACATGAACATAATAATCATCTCATCCACCCAGCTGGAGCTGGGGTCAAGTCAGCTGGGTCTGGGCTGGGCTAGCGCTAGCACGGCCACCTCGATCATAGTTTTCGCCCCCAGTGTCAACTCAACTCCGTTGCGAAGCACGAGTACAGCCACGTACAGCAGTATAATTTAAATTTGCTACATATTTTCTGACAATTTAGTTAAATGAGCTATGTGGCCAATTTTTGTATAATGAAAGGAGTAAAATTATATATCTAATATAAAATTAATAACTAATATGAATGAAGTGCATAGGCTATAAATGACATGTAACATTGCAATTGTTTACAGAAAGTTTGGTTAGGTTGAACACAGTTTAATTTCAGAATTCTGCTATCGAATGGAATTTTGAAATGTTACAACAAATTTGGTTGGGTTAGGTTAGTTTAGAACAATCTCGTTTCACAATTTAATATAAGTTGCGGGCAGATAACGTGAAGTTTATTCCATCCATTTCGGCTAATGAGGTTTAGATTAGAGGTACTAGCATTGACTATATATAGTCAATGCTATTACGCGCCACTGTTCTGTAGCTGCGGTCGTTATATCACGATTACGCCTCCAATCTATGTTTCGTTGTCGTCGCGTCGGAGGCATTTAAAAGAGAAAAAAAACAATAAATAAACAAATTATAGCTACACAAAACAACGATAAACGCACAAATTTAAGTTACAATCATACTAACACGATCCGTCATAGCGACACAAAACAACGATAAATACACAAATTTAAGATACAACCATACTAACACGATCCGTCTTGGGGGGTTATGTTTACACAAACTCAATTAGTAAATAAATTTTCATTGAATTGAAAAATAAATAACAGCAATTAAATTATACAGCTGATCAAAATGTAAACAATTGTGTTCTTCATAAGGATAACATGGGAACTTTCAAAGCCACTGGGGCTGAGCCCAAGGGACTTTTTCAAAAATGTAAGGCCAGTTTGCAAATCTACGCGACACGCTCTTTCCAATGAGACATCAATGGATAAAATCGGTTAAGAAATGGCGGAGGAGTTCAACCGACAAAGTTTCATGTATAGCGTATTAATTATATAGATAGCACACATTACATTATGAAATTCATAAAGTTCAGATCAAGATACTTAATTCATAACACTACTTGGAGCATAACCTTATATTTTAGAACACTTGTAACTTAGTAAAGGCATATTTTACTTTTTACGAACCCAAATGTATCCATGCATATTATGGACTTAAGTAAGTTGCCAATTGATGTGGATGTATTTAAATTTGTATCAGCCCCGGTTAGCTGTAGTCATCGTTGAGCGTTGAGCGTTGAGCGTTGAGCGTTGATGTTGATTCAAGTCCCTGGCCTGTGGTCCGTTCCAGGGTTCCTGGTACTGAGGTAAATGAACGCCCATGTAAATATATGATGATGACGTACTGTATTAAGGCGACTGGCTCACTGTGATGTAGCCGCCAGCTGTCTCTGACTAGTCAACACTCAACAGTCAGCAGTCAGCACTTTCGATAGAAATGTCACTAGTAAATGTTTAATAAGACCAAACACAATATGTGCACTTATAGCGATTGACCGATATTATTAATCATCAAAGTTGATATAGAATTATTTTTGCTTTAACATATAACGTTTGCGTTTCCTAATAATACAGTAATTATATTTATCTCTAGAACCAAAAGTAACGCCTATGATCGAACATCTAAAATTTAATCGAGGTAGATCCTGGCTCAGCATATTAATAAGGATAGATTTCGTCCTATGAACTATAATTTTTTAGGTATGTTTCTCCATGAAATTGCATTTTATTTTAAATAGGTTGCGACTAATAGGTATGTATTGTAATCATCTTTAAGCACTTTACGTAGGTATTCCATTAATACTAGTGAAAAGTAAACGATGACCCACATTTGCCTTTCTTCATGACGATGGTGACATCACAGGGCCAAACTGTATCAATTTCTGGTATCAATCTAGAAAATGTACGTGTTTTCAAAACACGAAAAAAACTAATTGTTTAATTATTAAAAGTACTAAATTAATTTATCTATTATATAATGAACATTCCCTAGTAAGTAATAAAATACGGCTTTCATTAGACTAAAATCAATTAAACCATTGACAATTTGTTTATTAACTTGGATGATAAACATAAAGAAATCTCGTGACAAACATAAACATATGATTACACTGCAAAGAAATGCATTGGCAATGATAGCCCACCTGTCAAAAATCAAATCAAATGCTGCCATGTTAATAAAATACCCCCACCGCAGCAAACCTGCAGACTTAGCGAATTTCCATCTGCCTGATTGGATTTAAACTAAAATGTCTCCTTAAAATATCACATTTATTCCCTATTTTAACAGAATTAGTTTAATGAGTACTTAGGTTTGCTGCAACAGGGAGGGTAAAAAAGTTTTTTTAATGTAAAATATTAAAAGGTACTGTGGTTTAGTAAGAAATTAATGTATTTTCCAAATTTGATCAAAATATGTTCATAAACAAGCAAACTACAACAGTTGACTTATTCTCCATAAGAATAACATGGGAATTTTAAAATTACAATTTCTTTGAATTTTCTCCGTAACAATTAGGTGCATAATAACGCTTCAATATACTAAATTATTTGTTTTTTTAAGCTCTACAAAATGGTTTAAAAATAAATTGTGAAATTTTGTGTTTTTAGGGTCAAAAATGGGAAAAACCTATTTTTACCCCATAAAACCCCCATAAACCCCCGTTCCCATAGTCCGATCATGCTGGTTCGCGAACTCATTCAAGTTTATCCCGCCTTACACCTTCAAACCAAATTTTATCAAAATCGGACAAAAATTACTCAAGTTATCGTGCGGATGGACACACACATATATATATATATAGATATATAAAAATTTGAACGAATTGTGTTTTTGGCCTCTGGGGACATCAAAATGAAAAAGTAAATCGGTCCCGGGCTTAGGTCTTACCATGAGACCTACGGTAATAGCTACTTCCCTATAGGGAAATTCGCTAATAAATAAAACAATAAAAATAAATAAAATAAACAAACAAAAATCCAACTGTTCATTTACCTTATTCTTCGTAGAAAATATTCAACTTCCTGCCTCTTAGTTAAGTCAATATTCGCATATAATGTTTTGTGGTAAAGTACCTTAAGAATAGTAAGATGATTAATGATATTCATCCAAATGTCCTTTTCCTTAGGGTCTGAATGTAGTTATTTGCTAGTATACTGTAGATGCATTTGTAACGTATTTACGATCATATGTTATGATTCTTTTGTTAACATTTTCCTTGGTGCATTTTCCTTGTTAGTCATGGCCACGATTTTAATGAAAAATACCAGGGGCCCATTTCATAATAAACTACAAGTTACAAGTTTAACTTGTAATTGCCATTAGATTTGCACTGGGCGATCAGCTGATTTACTAATAATATTAGTTTGTACTTTATTATGAAATGGGCCCCAGTATGGATCAAAAACATAAACAAACGTTTTTGGCCCGGACGTAAACAAAACCCCTATAATAATAGCATTAATTAACATATGGTTTTGTTTACTTTCGGGCCAAAAACGTCATTTGTTTATGTTTATGATCCATAGCGGTTCTTTTCTAGTATTCGTAGTCATGGCTAATTGGCAGCCCAAAGATTGAAAACCTTGAATTAGCTGAAAAATTATTTAGGCATTCCAATATTTGTCAAAATCACTTTGGCAAGTTTGGGTGAAATATGTTCAGCCGCTTTCACGTGGTGATGTAAAGAATTTTTCATGGAGGTCGATCCCAAAGAACTTCGCTCGCTCCGATCAATTAATTTGTAAAAAGTGGATCGCTTTGTTACAAGTAACTAAAAAAATTACCATTCAAACAAATTGTGTTATTCAACTGAGAACTTATAATTGGGATGCATTACTACATATGACACGCTCACAGGTTTTATTGCCTATTATAAGTAGAAAGTATTACAACGATACCGTGGCTTCCTAGTTCCTACAGAAGTGATGATCGAAATGGTATGGCAGCATGAGGAAAACATGACAAATATCATACAGTATTAAGTTGTATTTTATATCTAAAGCTCCATGGAAGATGTACAAAAATTAATTACTGTTAAATATCACTTGGAGTGGTTAGCAGTTGTATGCCAATTTAGCTCATGCAAGATTTCACTCTAAACTTGTAGCTCTTTAGCCTCTTGATATAAAATTTAGATTTTTTAGAAAACACTACCAAACACGTATTTTGGTAAGGCAATATGTAATTTTATTTGGAGATAATTTTATCAGAATGCATTGGCTATGTCAATGTTTGAATAACATTTAAATGCATTAACTTATTTACCTTAATATAAATATTAGTATGTATATGGGGTTTGCTGGTTTGCAGGTTTGCTGGAAAAAACTCATTAACATACTTTGAGAGTAGTCTTTGGTCAGTGTCATTGAAATAATCTTTTGCAGTATATTTTTAATCTGTTCCAATCTGTCTAATTTGTTAGTATTATATTGATATCAGCAATATCATAGTTCACTTCCTCTATGTAAGCAACAGTTATGGTTCTAATGGCCTATATAAATTTTGTTATTATATTGTAACCAACTAATACATTAATCCAAATATATGTAAAAATATACATTTGATAAGCACAGTATAATATAACAGGTCTTCCCGTTTTGGAACTTATTCTTAAAACAAATGTAAAGCCTTTTTCCAGTTGTAAAGGTTTAGTGTGTTAAGTCGAATTATAAAGATCGTGATTTACACATTTTCAGAATACATTACCTCAGTATCTCAAATTTGTCAACCTTCCCCTTCAGTTTTGAGATACCGAGGTCCGTCTATTACTATGCTGGAGTCAATGCAGCCAAATCACACTTTGCTGTACAGTGGTTAGCGTAGTGATAAGCAAACTTGAGATAAACGGATCGAATATCGCAGGTAGCGCGCTATGTGTTTATTCCTGTGTTTCTTGGAACATTAAATTATTTATTTTATAACTTGT